CATTAACCCCTTCATGGTGTCACTGCCCCCCACAGAGGTGCCCTAGCGGAGCCGTGCGAGATCAAGGCTGCTGGAAAAAGGGTTGGGGCAGCGGGGGCTGCGCGAAGTACAATGGCCATTCTCCGGGATGACTTAACCGAGCGAGAATCCCGGGGCCGAGGCCGGGGACCCGCCGGGAGAAGCGGACTCAGCAGCTCCATCCACAAAGGCGCTTTTCAGCCACCCCGGCTCCGGGAGAGGAAAGGGCAGAAAGCCGCGCCCCCTATCCCTGCTCCGGCCGGCCAGTCCCCTCCCCCAGCGCGGCCAGCCCTCCGGGTTCCAGCTCAGGCTCTGCCAGCTCTGAACGCAGCCACCTCTCCATCTCTGGTCCAGATGCAGCCCGGAGAGGCGTGGGAGTAGCACCTGAGAATGGCCGGAGCCGCCCTGGTGTGGATCTGGGGGGCCCCCTGCAGGGTGGGAGCGGAGAGAAGGAAAAGCGGCGGCGGCTGGAAGCCTGCACCCGGGGGAGTGAGACCGCGGTTATCTCGGCCGCTCCATTCTGGGAGCCGGAGACCTTGGCGCGCACCACGGCACGGACCCGGCGGGAGGAGGCCCAGAGAGGACAGCTTCCTTTTCTTCTTCTCTCCGACCTCTCACCTTGGACTTGGTTTTCTCCTAACTGCCAGAGGGACACTTTCCCCCTGCCCTTCTTGCTGAGTCTTCTACTACACCTCCGCAGGGTTGGAGAGGAGGGGAGGGGAAAGACAGAAAAAGTGGTAACTCCTTCCAACTTTTTGTCGTTTTGTCCCTTAAGGAGGCCCGAGGCCTTGACCTGCGGGGGCAGCAGCCCAGTGCAGAACCAACTCAATGGAGGCCTTTTGCAGCCAGGGTGTGGGAGATAAGCAGGACCCAGAGGGTTCCCAAGCCTGTCAGAGCCCCTCCTGGGTCTGTCCCTTATTCTGCCAACTCTGCTGCAGGTGGCAGCCAGAGGAAACATTCCGTGACCAAGAAGGAAAGGAGTGACCCTTCCCAATCTCTGGGTGAAAGAAGGGATTCTTTCTCCCCTAGACAGGTTTTCCTAACAAAGTAACCTGGAAAACTATTGCAATTAATCAGAGGAAATCCGTACCCTCCCTCTCCCCCCACCTCCCCACTCCATACACAATTAGGTGGTGTAATGGAAAGTGTATAGGACTTAGAATCAGGAGTCCTGAATTCTAGTTCCAGCCATGTCACTAATTAGTTTTAAGACTTTGATTAAATCATTTTTCCTCCTGGGGCCCAGCTCTCACTGTAAAATGGAAGGTGGGGTGATGGTGGAAGAATGTGACCTCCAGATTTCCTTCCAGCTCCAACATTTGAGATCATTGGCCAGAGGGGGTCCTTCTCTCCCAAAGCATTACTCACCTCACCCTAGGTTGGTTAAATTCTTATCTGCCCCAGATGCTCAATATGAGGTAGTTGAATTTATTTTATGTTTTAAATTCCAACAAAAGCCCCTGAAATAAACTGGACTTGAGGGACACAGGAACATTGATTGATTCTCAGTGGGTCCCTCTGTTCTGATTGAGAACTGCTTTTCACCTAAGACAGGCGTTTAGACTGGAATAATCTTGCCCCAGTTCTAGGATGCCTCCCTCTGCCAGAGACAATTCCTACCCAGTCCCTCCTTCAGGTAGATGGCCCCGTGACCTGACTCTTGGCCACCCTTTCTCAGCCTCCTTCAGTCTTCTTGGCTCACAGAGATTTTCCAAAATCAGGTCAGAAGCCAGGCTAAGGGCATAGCTTTCTGTCTACTGCCTAGCCAGCTCCTGGCCCCCAGCTCACCCCAGCCCTTCCTGCCTGGCTCGGTAGCTGACCCCCGGTCCACGCCTCAGCCATTTCCCGTCTCGCCTGCCGCCATCCCCCTTTCCCCGCCCTCGCCTTCGAAGTCTCTCCCAGCTTCACTCTCACTAGTCCCTCCTTCCTCTCCCCATCCAAGTCTCTCCCAGTTCGGATCTCTCCTGACCACTCAGTCCAGCCAGCCGAATTTTTATTTTGGGGAGAAGTGGAGTGGAGGAAGTTCTTTGAGATTAAGGTCCCTGGAGATGAAGCCCCGTTCTCCCACCGGGGCTGCGATAGAAAGTAGAGAAGTTGGCAGTGCCCTGGCACAGGTAAGGAGAGGCCCACCTTACCTCCGTCATCAGGCGGTCTGCGCCACTGTTCTCTTCATCTTTGAAGATGATGTCGGGATTGTAGTTGGGCACTAGGTCCCGGAAGCGCTCGGAGCCCCTGGCAACCCTACCTTCAGCTGGCCCACTGGCGCCCAGGGTCCGTTCGGGCACGCTGGGCACAAATTGCTTGTAGAGCAGCGGCACAAGCTGCTTGCGCACGTAGCGGCGCCGACCAACCGGCCCCCGGCCCGGCCCGCAGCTCTGGGCTGGCAGCGTCAGAAGTGCCAAGCAGCACAGGAGCACCAGACTGGCCAGCAGCGCCATGGACGCAGCGCACTCGGGCCAAAAGGGAACGTTCTTATCCTTACCAACTCGCCTGGCAGTTGGGCATTCCCCGGCACCAGAGAGAACAGCAGGCAGAACTGCCCCAGAGTGCCCTAGAGCTCTTGTGGCTCTACGCACCTGGCTGCCGCTAGCTCTGCCTACATGCCCCCAGGGGTTCTGTAACCTGCTACAGGCGGGCCATCATAGCAGGGAAGTGGGGTCGTGGGTGACTGCCAGCTCAGCCTGGCTCTGTCGCCAGGCTCCGGCGCTGCCACAATGCCCGGGCTCCGCCTTAAGTGGCCCCCTGGCCCCGCCCCCGCCCAGGACTGTCCCGCCCCCTACCACCAGGGCGGGGGCTCTAGCCGGTCACCACTGGTCCAGTTTGAGATTAAGGTGTGTCCCATCCTGGAAACCAGGTAGTTACTTGTCTAGGAAACCCTAGCAGCTCTACAGTCCTTGGCTGTCTGGTTAAGCATCCTTTTACCTCCTAGTCTGTGCTTGGTACCAAACCATCCTCCTCTGATATTTACATTGGATCTTTGCTCTCCCAAAGCCTAACCTGGCAGGCCATTTCCTCTGTTACTATCTGGAAATATTGGTTCCAGTTCCTGCCCAAAGTCAACCATGCTCTTTGGGCATACAACCGGAGCCTCCCTTGTCTGTCCGTGGTCTTCCCAAAACCTCTGCCATGTTGGCAGTTTTCCCTAGAATCAGCAACAGAGCTTCAAGTTATAGTCTAGTTTAGGACTTCAAAATTTGGCCCCCCTTGCTAGACACCCAACTTTTTAAATTAATAACTTGTCAATTGGAAGTTGCTGAAAGGCAGTGGCTACTTGAACTCTAACTGGTTTCACTTCATCTTTCATCTAGCCACCTCTCTAGCCTTCTTGCTCTCTGGAGCTCCCCCCCCCCCACACTCCCACCCTGGGGCTCTGCTTCCAGTCACTCAGGTTTATCTCAGAGGCTTTGAGCCTGCTACACTTCACCCACCAATCTACTATCCTTTAGAAATCACTTTCTCTAAGAAGCCTTCTCTGATGTCTTGACACCACACCTCTATTTCCTTGAAAACCAGTAATTGACTGCCATTTATTGTGGTTCAGTGTTAGAATTATGTCACCCCTACTAGACAAAGCAATTAAGCACCAACTTATTTATTATGTAACTCCATGGTTAAGTGCTTGGCTGATAGTAGAGTGCTCAGCAAATATTCATGGCATGGCACCTACAGTTTTTTTTTTTTTTTGGGGGGGGGGTTGTTTTTGTATTCCATATTCACCCCTCATGCAGCTCCATAGCTAGCACTTATAGCACCTTTGTGTACATTAGAAAAAAATACCCCTTCCTCAATACACCTTCTACTTGCAAGAAAATAGTCATAACTATGCCTTGACTATGAGGTGAATGGTGCCCCTACATGTTGTATAATGCAACATATACATAACACTGAGCAGAAACTTTGTCCCTAGCCCCAACATAGCAGGGGGCTTGCATAGTACTTAAGGCACTGATAGCCTCTGAAAAGATAGAGTTGGGTTCTTCTCTGAGGTAGATCACAAACCTTTGTTAGCTAGCCACTTCTTTTACTTCACATCCAATAGTCAAATCAGGGAGAACAGGATTGTGTGTGTGTGTGTGTGTGTGTGTGTGTGTGTGTGTCTACAAGGGGATCTTATCCTATTCCTACACCCATGCCTACGTACCCCCAATAACCAAAGCATAGAAACAAGAAAATGAGTATACGGAGAGTCAACTTTAGACAAGGCTATGGGAGAGAGCTCCCAAATGACTAATTGTGGGACCAGTCAACTTTAGACAAGGCTATGGGAGAGAGCTCCCAAATGACTAATTGTGTGGCCTAACACCAAACCCAAGTTCTCAAAGAACACTAAGAATGCAGATGGAGGGGAAGGGAAAGGATGGTGGACAGGACCATTCTGTTTCTCTCAGTTGATAGATTCAGGACTTGGGAGGAGAGCAAGGTTATTCAAATAAACACAGAGAGAGCCTTTTAAAAAAACCAAAGCAAACCTTGGGATCAACTTTATTGCTGATGGTTGTGGCCTTTTCTTTCCCACACCCTCACCTCTCTGGTGGTTCAAAGTCCCTCCAGGATAACACAGTGCTTAGGTTCTTCTAGACCAGAGGCAAAGGGAGACAATCTGCCCCCCACATTTGCCCCTGCTCAGTCCCTCCCCCGTCCCCACCCAACCCTATTGCACATCAAGTCATGTAAACATGGCTACAGGCATGGCCTGCAATAGCAGTGAGGCAGATTGATGTGTTAACGGATTTGGGACCAGGAGCCAGACCCGGGTCACTCAGCTCTACCCCATGCTAAGGTCCACAGTTAAATCTAGAAAAACAAGGGGCCTGGTCCCAAACTTGGCTCAGATTATGCAACAGTGCAGATGGCTCAGCTCCCCTCTGCCACCCACCCCTCTCAGATTCCAGGTCCTAAGGATCACCCACTCCTGGTGTTGCTTCAGGACTGGGTAGCAGATGGCAGTGTCCAGTTTTTCCCCTCTCACCCCCAACTGGAGGTCACTGGTGTTGGGTCTTCCTAGATGCCCTGGGGAAAGCAGAGACAGGCAATGGCAGTCTGTCCAGTCCTGAAAAAGAGGGAAGGCGGGCAGTCAAAAGTAGGACATATGCCCAGACCTCTGGGGTAAGACAACCAAACCACAAAATGGATGGATGAAGCAGGTTACAAGTAAAGCAGAAAGCCTGGCATCTCCCCTGCTGGAAAGACCACTGTTCCAGAAGGCTCCACCCCACCAGCCTGTGACTCCCACTCCCTCTCACCAAAAGCCCGGATCAGCTCCGCCCGAACAGCTGCAGTGAAGGTCTTCACCAGACAGAGAGTGGTGAGGCCCGCAAAGGTTGCATTGTAGAGGAACACGATGTAAAAATTGCCCAGCCAGTTGAAGCGTCCAAAATCACCCAGCAGGTCAAAGCGAGTGAGTCCTGAAGTACAAAGACCAGGATGGAAGGTGGGCATGCCAGCCCCCCCTGGCTCAGAGCCCAGCTTTCTGCTGCCTCCTGGTGGCCACATTTCAACACTGCAACTGATAAGTTGGCCTCTCCTATTATTTGAAGGGGGAGTGGGGGTACTTTATAATTGTTTTCATTTAAAAAATTAATTATTTATTGTTGATAGTATTACATATGTCCCCCTTTCCCCCCCATTGACCCCCTCCAGCCCACCCCCAATCCCCTTCCTCCCCGCCCCAGGCCCTAGCACCCTTTTGTCTTTGTCCATGGGTTATGCATTAAAGGTCCCATCCACCCTCCCCCACCTTCCCTCTGGATTCTGCACTCTGTTCCATGCTTCCATGTCCCTGGGTCCATCCCATTTATCAGTTAATTTTGTTACTTAGATGCCACATATGAGTGTGGTTATGTGATACTTGTCTTTCTCTGACTTATTTCACTTAACATGATACTCTCCAGGTTCCTCCATCCTGTCTCAAAGGGTGAGAAAATCCTTTCTACTGCTACATAGTATTCCATGGTATAAATGTACCACAGCTTTTTTATCCACTCATCTATTTTTAAAAAAAATAAATTTTATTGATTTTACACAGAGAGGAATTGAGAGGGATAGAGTTAGAAATGTCGATGAGAAACATCGACCAGCTGCCCCCTGCACACCCCCCACTGGGGATGTGCCAGCAACTAATGTACATGCCCTTGAACGGAATCGAACCCGGGACCCTTCAGTCCCCAGGCCGACGCTCTTCCACTGAGCCTAACCGGCTTCAGCCACTCATCTATTTTTTAAAAAAATATATTTTTGTTGATTTTTTACAGAGAGGAAGAGAGAGGGATAGAGAGTCAGAAACATCAATGAGAGAGAATCATCCATCAGCTGCCTCTTGCACACCCCCTACTGGGGATGTGCCCGCAACTAAGGCACATGCCTTTGACCGGAATCAAACCCAGGACCTTTCAGTCCGCAGGTCGACGCTCTATCCACTGAGCCAAACCGGTTTCGGCATCCACTCATCTATTGATGGGCATTTGGGCTGTTTCCAGATCTTAGTTACTGTACATTGTTCTGCTATGAACCGAGGGGTGTAAATATTCTTCCTGATTGGTGCTTCAGGTTTCTTAGGATATATTCCTAGAAGTGAGATCACTGGATCAAATGTGGTTCCATATTTAATTTTTTGAGGAAACTCCATACTGTTTTCCATAAGGTTGCACCAGTCTGCATTCCCACCTGTTGTGTACTAGGGTTCCCTTTTCTCCATATCCTCATCAGCACTTGTTATTTGTTGGTTTGTTGATAGGTGTGAAATGGTACCTCATTGCCATTTTGATTTGCATCTCTTGGGATAATTAGTGACTTTGAGCATTTTTTCATGTCTCTTGGCCATCTGTAAGTCCTTTGCCTATTTTTTAATTGGATTGTCTTCCTTTTGTTAAATTGAATGAGTTCCTTATATATTTTGGATATTAACCCTGGCCTCTCCTAGTATTACATAATTATTCCTATATCCCAAGCTCTGTCTCAGAGTTGTTTAGTGCTATAAATAGTCAGTAGCTAAACTTGCTCCAACTTCCCTGCTAGAGTTTGGCATGTTCTCCAATGGGGTCCCCTCTGGCTCTAGTTATCCCAAGGAGCTACCTGGACCCACTACTTGTTCCTGAGTCAGGAACTTACAAGCTAGTCACTAGTATATATATATTTTTTTAATAGGTAGAGCTGTGTGGAGGCCAACAGCTCTGACTCTGATCAGACTGCTATGGTTCATATCCAAAATCCATCTCAACTAAGTGTGTGATTTGGGGTAAATTCCTTAAACACCTGTGCCTCAGTTTCCTCAACTATAAAGCAGAGGAAATAATGGGACTATAAGAATTAAATAACACACATAAAGCACTCACTATATGTGCCAGGGGTATTTTAACCCTTGCTGGGCCTTTAATAAAATATCACAAATAAGATATCTGGGGCCTTCCTCCACTTAACTTCAACCGAAAGGAACTAACTGATGGACCTACAAGCCTAATGTACTACTAAATCTTCATGTTTTAAGTATAAATGCTACAGGGAAAAGAGTATGGGCTTAAGAACCAAAGAGAACTAATTTATTTTTTTGATTTTTGATTTTGAGAGTACATTTTTAAAACTGGGGACAGACAGGGGTTGGGGGATATAGAAAAGGGTATGGGGGAATAAATAGTAATGGAAGGAGCTTTGAACTTGGGGGAGCGAACACATAATACAATATACAGATGTGTAACAGAATTATACATCTGAAACCTATATAATTTGATTAACATCACCCCAACAAACAAGGTAAAACAAAACATCATTATATAATACATATAAAAAAAGCTGGGGACAGTGAAAAACAGGGAAGACTTAAAATAGAAGAGACAAGATCACAGCAACAGGAGGAAGCCTAGGCTGGGCTGCCTAGACTTGGAAAGGAAGTCAAAGTAATAGAAGTCAAAGTCCACACTGGGCTGCATGGACTCAGGAAAGAGGCCAAAGGAGAGTTCTTGGAGACAGGTTCAGGGGGTTAGCTTGGGATAAGCTGCTGCTGCCCACTGCTCTCCTGGTTGCAAATCTCTTGGGGACCCTTGGAGCTAAGAAGAAAGCAAAAGTACACACCTGAGAAAAGGGGACACAGGCATGCTCAAGAGTGTTTTCAAATAGAACTAGTTTAAATCATGTATAATATGATATATGGAAAATGATGTAGTGGTGGGGGGTTACCTATCCAACTCTCATACTACCGTGGAGTAAACTAGTTACATTAAAAAAAATTTTCTAACAGGTAATTTTAGATCATAGTTCTAAAGATAGGAGAAGGGAACGGACTAGGAGAATCCAAGATGACTGCACAAGTAAATACCTAGCTGCAGCAGCACACAACAATTTCAATAAAATACAACTAAAACATAAAATGGACATTACTGAGATTACACCAAGATGGCGGCATAGGGTAGACACCCGAATGCAACCTACCACAACAAATTTGAATTTAGAACTGAAAAACAGGGGAGGCATTGCCCTGAAGTGCCGGACGGCTAGCTGAGAGGAGGCTCTGCCATCTGGGAAGGAGAGAGAAGGCATACTGAACCTCAGGAACTGTGAAGGTACGGAGAACTGTGTGTGTGAAAAGGCGCTGGCTTACTCCCAGTGCGCGGAGAGGAAGGACCAGACTGAGATTGCAGCTGGCTTACTCCCGGCACAGAGAGGGCGGGCCGGGCTAAGTTCGCTACTGGCTTATTCCTGGTGCGCGGAGAGGGCGGACAGCTTTCTTGTTCGAGAGGAAAACAGAATCAGCCTATTGCTCTCATAGATGGCCCCAGACAGGGAGAGGCCAGACTGTAAGGCAGTGGGCAGAGATCTCTCGGAGGTGTGTGAAGCCAGAGGCCATTACTGCGGGACTTGGGGAGGAGCCCAAGGGAAAACAGTTTGTCTGCACCAACCCGAGACTCTGCCCCATCTCTGGCTGAGCACAGAAGCTCTCCCAGAGGCTGGCTTTCTCTAAGGAGGGACTGGCAGGAACCCAAAAGCTTGTCTGTGCCTTTACCAAAGAGGTGCGTGCACCTGCAACCAATCTTCCGAAACTCTCCGAGAACAGGTCTTTTCTAAGGCGAGACTGACAGGGAACCAAAGATTGTCTGTGCCACCCCAAGACCCCGCCCTATCCAACCGGAGTACAGAAGCCCTCCTAGCTGAGACTCTGCTGATCCTCACAGCCAATTGGCTTGGAGATCAACGCTTCCCAGTGATACCAACAATAAGCAAGGCTTAACAACAAGTCTGCACACACAGCCCCCAAAGGGCTACACCAAGACTGTCCACCCCAGGTAACTGGGAAGGCTGTGCTACTGGGCTCTACCAGAACACCTACCACACAAAACTATTCCATCAAATCAGGAAAACAACTAAAATGCAGACAAGAGGAAGGAGTCAAAGGAAGGAGATGGAGGAAAAGAAAAGATTGGACATTGAGTTCAAAACTACAGTTATAAGGTTATTCAACAATATCCTAAAAAAGGCCGATAAAATAAATGAGACCTATGAGGATATGAAAAGGGAGCAACTAGAAATAAGGGATTAACAAGAAATGAAGAAAACATTGTCTGAAATAAAAAATATTATACAAAGTCCTACAAAAAGACTGGAAGATCACAAAATCAAGACAAAGATTTAGAACATGAAGAGCCAGAGGACACTCCTCTGCATAAGGGAGAAGATAAGAGAATCCAGAAAGTTGAACATAGTGTAAGAAACCTCTGGGTTTCTTACACTATGTTCAAGCGAACCAACATCAGAATTATGGGGATTCTAGAAGAAGAGAGAGAGCAAGATACCAAAAGAATACTGGAAGAAATAGTGACAGAAAACTTCCCCCACCTGGGGAAAGAAATAGACTTACAAGTCCAGGAAGCCCGCAGAACCCCAAACAAAAGGAATCCAAGGAGGACCACACCAAGACACATCATAATTAAAATTCCAAGAGCAAAAGACAAAGAGAGAATATTAAAAGCAGCAAAAGAAAAGCAGGTAGTTACCTATAAAGGAACACCTATACGATTGTCAGCTGATTTCTCAACAGAAACCATGTAGGCCAGACGGGAATGGCAAGAAATATTCAAGGTGATGAACAAGAACCAGCCAAAAATAATCTACCCAGCAAAGCTATCACTCAGAATCAAAGGACAGTTAAAGAGCTTCACAAATAAAAAAAAGCTAAAAGAGTTCATCACTGCCAAATCAGAATTATATGAATTGCTGAAGAGGTTATTTAGGAAGAGGAAGAAGATAAAAGATAAAAATTATGATCAACAAATAAGTAACTATCAACAAGTGAATCTAAAAACCAAGGAAATTAAAAAAAAACCTGATAAACAATATTAACTGGTGAATATAATAGAACCAGAGGTATGGAAGGGGAGTGAACTGACGATTCTTGGGGAAAAGGGGAGAGGAGGATGTGGGAAGAGACTGAACATAAACTGTGCACCTATGGATGAGGACAATGGGGGGTGGGGAAAGGGCAGAGGGTGGGATGGGAACCTGGTGGAGGAGAACAATGGAGGCGGGTGGGGGGGGAGGAACATTTGTAATAATGTGAACAATAAAAATTTATTTCAAATAAATAAATAAATAAATAAATAAATAAATAAATAAATAAAGATAGGAGAAGGACTGAGTGTATTATTTGATGCCCTGGTGTGTGCAAAGAGCGCTGGACTAGGATTAAGGAGACAAGGGTTCTAGCCTGACTTGGTCTTGCTTCAAACTAGCTATAAAATTGGGCAAATTAATTAGCTTCTCTGTATTTCATCTTTAAAATAAAAATATTTAGCCCTGCCTGGGAGCTCAGTTGTTGTCCCAATATGCCAAGATTGTGGTTCAATCCCAGTCAGGGAACATACACGAATAAACCAATGAATGCACAAATAAGGGGAACAACAAATTGATGTTTCTCTCTCTCTCTAAAATCAATAATAAAATAAATAAACTCAGCACAAGCATTTCACAGAACCTGTTTCTCAATCTGTATCATGAGCATTATAATTTATTATAAGTTTGTTGTGAGATTTAGGGAGAACATGTACATAAAGTGTCTGCTTAACACCAGTAGGTACTAAAAAGAAGCCAATTCCTTTACCTCCCCCCCTTTTTTAATTGATTTTTTACAGAGAGAAAGGAAGAGGGAGAAAGAGTTAGAAACTAATGAGAAACATCAATCAGCTGCCTCCTGCACACCCCCCACTGGGGATGTGCCCGCAACCAAGGTACATGCCCTTGACCGGAACCGAACCTGGGACCTTTCAGTCTGCAGACCGATGCTCTATCCACTGAGCCAAACCAGTTATGGCCATTTATCTCCTTTTGCTACTTACCCAGGGTTCGAGAGAAGACAGGAAGTGCTGAGCTTAGGACCAGGAGACAGACACAGTTCCCGATTATCTGGATAGGAGTAAGTAGAGGGGAGATGAGATAGCAGAGCTACCAGTATCTAGTCCCCATGCATGTTTCCGGGATATATCCTCTACTCCTACCCAACTACCTGTGTCATGGCTGTGTCTTGCCATCTGGGCCGCAAGCCCCGGAAGAGTGGAGAACTGTAGAATCCCACGATCGAAGACACCATCAGGTAACTGCCAATGGAGTTAGGGAAGAACTGGCCAGCTCCCAAGGATTAATGCCTCATCTCAAAGGGAATAAGCTCCTTTCCCCCCAGCCCGCCTTTTAAAATCAAGTCTTTTTTTTATTTCTGAACCTCAGGTTGGTGAAGACTTACTTGCCCGCTTCCCATCAGTCCTACTGCAAATCTGCCCAGAGCCCCAAAGGAGACATTCAGAAATCAGAATAGTGGGTTTCCAGAAGGATACAAGATGAGTACAACCTGAATGACAGCACCAAAGGAGCCCAGCTTGGAGAAGGAGACCTGGCCCAGGGAGGCACCCTGAGAAATGAAGTAGTATCACAGTGGAGCACTCTCCACAGTCAGCACCACCCAGCACCCAGCCTTCCTTCTGGCCTCAGTTTCTTCCCCCTCACCCCAGCTTTTCTAAGGTCCTCCCCAAAAGATATGGTGGGAGGGCAGCCCAGTACCTGCATGCCCCGGGGCATGGCAGCCTCATCGATGAGCAGCTCCAGGATGTGGATGGCCACAATGAGCACGGATAGGCCCTGTGTGAGGCAAGGTCCCAGATTCTCATTCATGCCCCCGCCCTCAGCAGTATCCAGAGTTACATGTTAAGAGCAGACACTGTGCCCTGGCCGGGTGCTCAGTTGGTTAGAGCATCATCTTGAACACCAAGGTTGTGTGTTCAATCCCCAGTCATGGCACACATAAGAATAAACCAATAATGGCCAAAACCAGTTTGGCTCAGTGGTAGAGCATCAGTCTGCGGACTGAAAGGTCCCAGGTTCGATTCCAGTCAGTGGCATGTACGTAGGTTGTGGGCACATCCCCGGCGGGGGGTGTGCAGGAGGCAGCTGGTCGATGTTTCTAGCTCTCTATCTCTCTCCCTTTCTCTCTGTAAAACATCAATAAAATATATATTTTTTTAAAAGAATAAACCAATAATGAATGCATAAATAAGTAGAACAAATTGATGTTTCTCTTTTTCTGTCCCCTCCCTCCACCCCCTCCCAAATCAATCAATAAAACAAACTTTATTTAAAAAAAAAAAAAAGGCAGCCCTAGATGCTTTGGCTCAGTGGATATAGTGTTGGCTTGTGGACTCAAGGGTCCTGGGTTTGATTCTGGACAAGGGCACAAGCCTGGAGTACAGGCTTGATTCCCAGTAGGGGGCATGCAAGAGGCAGTTGATCAGTGATTATCTCTCATCATTGATGTTTCTATCTCTCTCTCCCTCTCCCTTCTTCTCTGAAATTAATAAAAATATACTTAAAAATAAAAATAAATAAAAAAGCATATACTCTGCTCCAACATTTTCAGTTTCCAAGCACTGTATGGGACCTCCTCAAGGCAGATGCTAGTAACGGAGCACTATGAAGGTATTATAAGATACTAGAGGCCCAGTGCACAAAATTCATGCATGGGGGAGCGGTGTCTCCTCAGCCTGGCCTGCACCCTATCCAATCCAGAATTCCTTGGGGGATGTCTGAGCAGCAGTGTTGCAATTCGGGACTGCTGGCTCCTAACTGCTTGCCTACCTGTCTACCTGCCTGTCTGATCACTCCTAACCACCTCTGCCTGCCAGCCTGATTGCCCCTTAAGTGCTCCCCACTGTTGGCCTGATTGCTCCTAACTGCCTTTGCCTCAGCCCCCACCACTGTGGTTTTGTCCGGAAAGACATCAGGAAGATGTCTGGTCTAATTAGCATATTACCCTTTTATTAGCATAGATACCCTCTCCAGCTGGAAGAATAGCAAAAAAGCTAAATAGAAAAACGATTCTTCCCCCAGACTGATAAGACTTATTCCCAAATCCAGGTTGTGGCAAGTGGGGAGACAGACTGAATTTCAACCCTTATTTTCAGTGGTCATGTGAAGCCTTGGGTAAACTCCTTAATTTCTCTGTTTCTTCATTTACAAAATTTGGATTGATGTGCTCAACACAGGGCAGGACACAAAGTAGACACTCAGTAAGAGGTAACTACTATGATTGAAGATAACTGGGTCCCTGAATCTCCTCCTTCTTCCCTCAGAAGGTATAAAGTACTCAAGGGCCTACTACTCACCACCCCCATCAAGGATGGTATACCCACCGTCAGTAACAGCAAGCACAGCATGGCCAGGGGATAACCCAGGTTCCGCTGCCAGGCTGAAGCCTTCCACCGCTTTTCTGTGCAAGGATGGGAAGCTGTTAGCACACGCTTGGAACAAGAGGCTATTCTTTCGGAAAGCCAGGTATTCCATCCCTGCTAACACATACCCAGTAGGACCCTCTGTGTCTGCAGAGCCAACACCTGTCTGTGCAGCAGCTCCATGTCCAAAGGCAGCCAGCAGGAGGTGGGATCTAAGGGCAGAAAAGATGGTGCTGTCCCCGCCCAAGCCAAGCCTGTCATCCCACCTGGGAAGAATTGCAACTCACTGCAAATCCTGCGGGTCAAAGCTGCTTCTTCAAAGGCTGAGCAGTACAGCTGCTCCTCCAGGTCTTCTAGCACCTGGGAGCGGGGGAAAGAAAGGGTCTAATAGTCAGGGGCTCCCAGATCCCAAGGGCCCCAGGAGCAACCTGTTCATCCCAGGGCTTTATCGTCCCATTCCTCCCTCTACCCCTCATTCACTACCCTGGGGTCAGCAACTTATCCATCCCTCCCGACTGCCTTGTGTTCTGCTTTGTATGTCTAGTAACCAGCTCCAGATGATGGGGGTGGAGGATATAGGAGCCAACAAAGGCAGTGGCCCTCTGCAAGGTGTGTACCACACAATCACAGGGTTGCTTTGTTTTTTGGCTCCAGCTTGGCAGGAAGCTCACCTCACAGGATCAAAAGGCAAGGAGAACTACATACCCGCGGTTTGACCAGCAGCTTCCCAGTAACCGAGAACATGCGGGCGAGACCTAGTGGAGTACACACTGTGGAGACAGAAGCCAGTCACCTGATAGGCCCTTCTCTCCATCATTCCCCCTAACCACCCCTCCATTCCCTCTCCTTCCACCCTGTGGCTCCGATCCAAGGACCTTACCCATTATCTCTCAGACCCTGAACACTCACCCAGGAGCAGCAGGACCCCAAGGAAGGAAATGCAGGAATAGAGGTAGGGGAGGTAGTACTCCCAGAAGTCTAAGGGTAAAAAAAGCAGTACAGTCAGCCCATCTCTTTCCTGCTTATTGGAAGGACAGGCCTCAGAGACAATACAAAACTTACAGAGGTTAGGCAAGTAATGCAAATGAGGAAAGCTGGCCTGTGTCACAGAAAAGGGAATGGCAGGGACTATAGCAAACTGGAGATCCTAAGCCCTACCTAAAGGGCACAACTGTTATACTGCCCAGTCACTGAGGACTAGCAAAGCCAGAGATTTGGATATTAATGTGAAACCTCCCAACTTTAACATATATATAGCAACTGACTCATGTTTTTAAATCATTGCATGGGCCCAATGGAACATTTCTGCAGGTTGGATTTGGATGAAGACCATCATTATAAAACTTCAGTCTAATGTTTATTTAAAAAAAAAATTTTAATTCATAAGTGGAGAGGGAGAGAGATAGAAACATCAATGATAGGAGAGAATCATTGATTGGCTGCCTCTTGCACGCCCCCTATTGGAGATCGAGCCTGCAACCCAGGGCATGTGCCCGCAATTGGAATAGAACCTGGGACCCCTTCAGTCCGCAGGCCGATTGATGCTCTATCCACTGAGCTAACCCAGTTAGGGCCAGTCTAACGGTTTAGATCAGTGGTCAGCAAACTCAGTAGTCAACACAGCCAAATATCAACAGTACAACCACTGAAATTTCTTTTAAGAGCCGAAAACCGACTTCTGCACATGGGCAATGAAGTTTCAATCACACTGTACGTGCATGCCTGCATGTGGTCTTTTGTGGAAGAGACACACTCAAGGGGCCAAAGAGCTGCATGTGGCTTGCGAGCCACAGTTTGCTGACCACTGGTTTAGATGATCTCAATCTTCTCCACCTCAGAGGGATATAGTTAATCCAGGAAGGGGAACATCTGCCAACTGAAGAGCCACTCCGCCTGGAGGGTAGGAAGGAAGCTGGCCCTCTCACCATAGAGTGACTCCCTGCTGGTCTTGTTGTTGTCCACAATGGCTGACGCCACCCACACCATGCCCAGCACCAGCAGAGTGAGGAGCATCAACATTACCACTGTCTCGTAGACTCGGCCCAGGACACCCTAAGGAAGAAGGCAATGGTTGTGGGATGGAGAGAAATGCCAACAACGGCGGGGCAGTGTGGGTAAGGAAGGAAACATTGGGAACGGCAGTCTGGCTAGGGGAACCAGAGGACTGGATTCAGGAGAATGGAGAAAGCATTTCCCTTTCATTCTGCTAAATCACTCTATCCTCCTCCTCCATAACCGGAATATCCATTCCCATCTCGATATTTTTCCTTTGTAACCTCCCTCCTCGGGTCCTTTCTCCATCCTTGTTTTGCCCTGGGAGGCTGACTCCTGAGGTCTGCATCACAGAAGTTCTTTGCCCTTGGTTTTCCTGTTCAGCTTGCCCAATGGAAAGAACCAATAGCTCCTTTGCTCAACTGGGTTCCAAAAGCTATTTTTTCTCTCTGCTCCTGCAAACTTATGGTGGTAAGGACTTCCTGATGTTACTAGCACCTCAAACTCCTTGTTGATCTCCTCAACCCTAACTATACCTCTATAAATAGTTTCTTCATTAAAATCTCTTTAGTTGAAACATCTGGGTGGAATTCTGTTTCCCGCCTGGATTGATTAATACATCACTCACTCACCTTTTTGGAGCCAGCGAAGCCCTCAGACTCAGTGAAGAAGTATGCAAAGGGCATGAGGAAGATGAGGGACAGGTTGGAGAAGAGAAAAACGAGGTTCCAGAGGCCTAGAGCAAAAAAGGAAAGACAGAGGTGGTCAGAAAAGGGTGACCCAACCCACTGGGTACTTGATCATGTGATTGGGAAGCTGGGGATGGGGTGATTATGACTAATGAGTATCAGGCTGTATCTGCCTGACACTTTCTGCACCCTATCGCCATCCCAAGCTGTAACCAGGAGCCACGCACCATGGATGAGGGAGCCATTGAGCCACTGGATGTAGTAGTTCCGAGGCAGTGACAGCAACACCTCATTGCTGATGATGGAGAAGGGCAGGAGCAGTACGGCACCCAGGGAAACTGCCAGAGTAAAGGTGCAGAGCTCGAGCCTGGGTGGAGAAGAGATAGTGTCCTTGCTCAGCTTAGACACTTCACTAGTCCAAGAAGCCCCATTCATCCCTGCAGGCACCTGTAATTTCTCCTGGAACCAACTCGCAGGGACAGACCAGAGAAGGAGCCATCAGCTGGGGCTCCACTACTGCCCCCCAGCCCTAGTCCTTACCTTCAGGGAAGCCTTGGCACATGGGATGGGTATGTCTCAGGCATTTATGGGAGCCTGGTCATCTGTCATGTCACTTGCTTAGACTGTCCTCAGGAATGTGATCCTCCCACACATGCCCATAGGAGCACCAGGCATAATACCAACCTAAAAGGCCTGGCTTCTCTAATAAGAGATGTGGATTTCTAAGCTTGCCTCTTCAGCCCACATAAGAGCAGGGTCACCCCATATGACTATGCCCTGAATGAAGCTCTAGGACAAAGGGAGAAAAGGGAGCTAAAACTCAACTTCACAGCCAAGGCCTGTGTGCTGGGCTGCATCAGTTGAAAAGAAGGGACACTTTTATTTATTTGGTCCATCAAGGGGGGATGGTTGCCTTCTTATAATCTGTTGGCCCAGATCTTTCTCTATACTTGTTAGTGAATAAGATTCATCCTTAGATTCAAGCACACCTCCCCTTCAGGAGTCCTACCTTTCCCATCCCCAGCTGTTTTCATTAATCTGATCCTACCCTACTCCCTTCCCAATGAATGCTGGGAGGTGAAGCCACGCTGAAGTCATTTCTGATGACTCAAGCCCCAGCTGACAGTTTCCAGCCTTGGGGATCCCAGGAGCTCCTGGCCTAACAAGGGAGACAGGAAGAGCAGCTTTTCTAAGCGTCCCCAGGATGGGGTAAAGCCGGAAGAAGCCAGAAGTAGGGTGGAAGTAGAAACTCTCTCTTTACTTTGTGACACCCCACTCTCTCCGCCAGCTCCAGGGCCTCACTAGATTTCAGCTTCTAAAGGCAACTGGTGCCAGGTGCTCAGACAGCGACACTTACGCAATCTTGTTGACTGTGGCATCTTCATCATCCACTACAAAAGACAGAAGCATGGGGAAGAAGCAGATCAGTGGGCAGCTCTGGGAGCCATCTGTGTTGCAGCATGCCTTCCTTCCCCTTCCCTGCCCCCTGAAAGAAGGGCCTGCGCCCACAGAGGCAGAGCTGGACAGAGGCTCTGCAACAGCTCATGCTATGAACCCCACAACCTGTTCGTTGGCCAAGGTAGCAGTGGCCCCAGGTGGAGAGAGAACAGGCTAGAGACTCCCTCACTTCCCTCCTTCCCCATCACAGGTTCCTCTTTGTAAGCTCAATATGATAAACAACTGGTCTGTGAGGTTGTTTACATCAGTGGCTGGGTGCAGCAAAGAGAAAGCAAGGTGTGTGTGTGTGTGTGTGTGGCGGGGGGATTCACAGAGAAAGTCCCCAAGAGAATTACACTGAGGAGTAGCTGCCTTCTTGGGTGGGGGCTCATGGAGGGGAAGAAAGGCTAGGGCCAGGACAGGATAATCTGAACAGGCTGAGGCGAGTGTGTGGACCGGCGCCCCCCCCGTCACACAATGCCTACAGGAGGAAAGCTCCAATCTGAGCATAGATTGGGAAGAGAAAGGCCACCATCACCAGGTCCTGGGGTCCCAGCAGTCACGCAGGTCTCTGGTCCTGGTGTGGGAGCACTAGGAGAGGAGGTGACAGAGCTTGTGCCCATGATAACATTCACCTTTCAGTTGCCCATTTTAGGTTTACAGAGGACATTTATATTAACCATCATTTTGGTCCACATAATAACAATGGACTGGGTAGAGACTGCTAGGCCCATTTTGGAAAGGATAAAACTGAGGGCCAGAAAAGTTACAGGACTTGCCCAGTGGCTTTACTGGTTGTGGACACTTCTATCTAGACTTTCCACTATACCACACTGTCCCTGCCTGTGGAGGCAGGGAGGCAGAAGAGGCAAAGGCACCAGAACAGCCACCTCTCCTTTCCCAGCAGGCACCATAGACCCAGTCTCCTGAGGCTGGCTCCGCAGCAACAGGAACACTAGCAGAGGACGAGCAGAGGGAGGGAAGTCACAGGTACCTGTAGTGAACTCAGCAGGCTTCTTGAAGTGGGTCAGGGTGATGTGGCAGAGGATGTAGAGTGTCGCAAACAGAAGTGTTGAGATCTATGGCAGAGTATGAACTGGGATGAGAAACTCTAAGTCTTAGAACATTCCATAGCCCCAAAAGCCTTTCAGTTTATTCCATGGGGTCACTTCCCCAAAACAAAGCTGCATGCTTTCTCCCTGGTACTTCCTTCTAGTTAAGGCCACAGGAGGCTTTAAGAACCAGTAGACAGCCTAAGGTTTGGCTCAGTGGAGAGAGGGTTGGCCTGTGGTCTGAAGGGGCCAGGGTTCAATTCCAGTCAAGGGCATGTGCCCGGGTTGCAGGCTCAATCCCCAGTAGGGGGCGTACAGGAGGTAGCTAAACAGTGATTCTCATCATTGATATTTCTATCTCCCCCTTTCCCTTCCTCTCTGATATCAATAAAAATGTATTAAAAAATATGTAAGTGGAACAAATTGCTATCTGTCTCTCTCTTTTTAAAAAAACAACAACAACTATATTTCACTGATTTTTTACAGAGAGGAAGAGAAAGAGACAGAGAGAAACATCGATGAGAATCATCAATCAGCTGCCTCCTGCACACCCCCCACTGGGGATGTGCCTGTAACCAAGGTACATGCCCTTGACTGGAATCGAACCTGGGACCCTTCAATCTGCAGTCTGACTCTCTATCCACTGAGCCAAACTGGTTTCGGTTGTCTCTCTCTCTCTTAAAAATCAATCAGGCTGAAACCAGTTTGGCTCAATGGATAGAGCGTCGGCTTGGGGACTGAAGGGTTCGATTCGGTCAAGGGCATGCACCTTGGTTGCGGGCATATCCCCAGTAGGGGGTGTGCAAGAGGCAGCTGATCAATGACTCTCATCAATGTTTCTTTCTTTTAAAAAAAAAAAAATATATATATATATATTTTATTAATTTTTTACAGAGAGGAAGGGAAAGAGATAGAGAGCCAGAAACGTCGATGAGAGAGATACATCGACCAGCTGCCTCCTGCACACCCCCAACCGAGGATGTGCCCGCAACCAATGTATATGCCCCTGACCGGAATCGAACCCGGGACCCTTCAGTCCGAAGAACGACGCTCTACAGCCGAGCCAAACCGGTTTCGGCTCTCATCGATGTTTCTTACTCTCTATCTCTCTCCCTTTCTCTCTGTACAAAATCAATAAAATATATATATTTTTAAAAATCAATCAGGAGCCTTGTAAGATCAAGTATGCTCGAGGCCAAACCAGAGCCTCATTTAATCCTCTCCCCCTTAAGAGTAAGACTTAGTTGGAGCCCAGTATCCACAGTTTCTAGAGTCAGCATCAGCCTCTTTAAAGGCAGTCAGTCCCTGCTCCCAACTCTAGGGCCTGGCATCTCAGGCCTGTCCCATGCCTCTGGGCAACTGGCCCTCCGACTGATAGTTAAGACAAAACTTAACCAAGTTACTTTGCACATGCATACATCCCTACCCTACCCCAAGTTAGCTGCTACTGTTTAGGGGAAGAGCTACTGCTCAGTTTGGCTCCATAAACAGGGAGTCTTGAGAAGAGACATTATTGTATTTGAAGTAGTCCAAGAAGGCAGGATCAGTCTTGTGGGTTCTCCAATCCCCAAGAGGACCTGACACCACAGAAAATCTGCATACAGCTATCCATACAAAGAGGGACAAAGTCACAGAGACCCCAGGAGAGCCAGGGGTCTAGGACAAAGTTGTAGCCTCTGACATTAGGAAAGCTGAGTAGAATGAGCCACTCAGATTGAAACCGCAGAATTTTTACAGCCTAGTGCTCCACCCTGGGCTTGCGCAAGTAATAGCTAGCAAGGTGGGAGGGCTCAAAAGGTCATGCTGGAGTTACACGCAGTCCCAGCAGAGGCTAGGTCATTCTCTAGAGCAGAACTGGTGCCAGGTGGAGGAGCTACCTTCAGGCTGCCCTTGCCCAGCACTGATTCCTCAGCTAATGGGACTCAAGGATGGGGGAGACATCCAAGAGGCTGCTTCTCTGTCCAAGGTCTCATCCCTCCTGGTTCTCTTAAGAATGTGGGCCGCTGGCCATACACTGTCTCAAGGCCTGGACGAGCCTTAACATATGCCCAACCCCACCATGTGGGGCTTTCCACTGAGGGACAAATACGGAAGGATTCCTGAGCGCAGATATGGCATTCTACACATGGACTAATATACTTCCTACCTTTCAGTACTCATAAACAAGGACAGACTCAGTTAAGTAGTAGCTCACTTCAATCCCTCAGTCTGCCCAGGGCAGACCAGAACCCAGCCTGAGAAAAAAAAAAACGAATGATAGACCCACTCACTAACATTTTCTATTCTTTCAAACCTTTCTCTTTTCCTTTCCATTTAGTACATGGAAGAGAGGGCTATCCTGGGGAGCTCAGAGGAAGAAGACTCAGGAGAAAAGAGAAAGGTGAGAGTTCAAAGCAGGCCTGAGGAAGATTTTACTTCCTTAGCGCCTTCGAGTATCCCCCCGACCTGGCCCAGAAGTAAGGAGTCCATTGCTGTGGTAGGTTCAGCTGATGCTCTTCTAGGTGGCAGTGGGCGAGGGAGGGAGGCAGCCAGGTGCTCTCTAGAGCACTGAGGGGAACCACACAGGGGAAATCCCTACCTGTTTGGATAGCCAGCTAGCAACCTCCACTTGCAGGGTTCCTAACAAACACCAATAAGGGGACGGAGGGGGGTGTGGAGGGAGAGGGACGGAGGCTTAGTTGTTCTCCATCTCTACCCAGTAGAATCCACACCAGCAGGAGTCCCTTCTTCCAAAGTGGGAGTCCCACCAAAGTCCCGTTTCAACAAACATCAGCTTGCAAACAAGCCCTCCCCTAATCAAATCCATCCCTCTCGGTCTAAGACGGGCAGACTCACCCAACTCTCAGACACCAGGGGACCCACGCCCAGAACTACGGTGCTGGGCGGGGGAGGGGCGTGGAGAAGGGGGGAACGGAAACGGATGGGCTTTGTTTATGTCGCATCTAGGTTCCGACCTAGTGGTTCAACCAGCTGGGGCACCGGTCCTTCGGTCTGGGCCGGGGGGGGGGGGGGGGGGCTTTCCTTGCTCGCCCCCGGTGCGCCCGGGGTCCGAAGGCACTCTGAGCCCGGGAGGTTGTACTCCGACCCCAACCTCGCCCTCTCCCGCGCCACCCTTTGGCCCTAACCTGGCTACCCGGGTCCCACACTCACAATACATTCGCGGACCCTCTCGTGGAATAGCTGCTCTCGCACGGATAGCACTTCGTAGTCAGCTGCTTCCATACTCTGCTCAGCATGACTGGGGCGGGGTTGTCGCCGGGCCCGGGGAGGACTGGCGGGGATAGAGCCGCCGCCGCCGCCGCCGCGCACCCGGACCCAGCCGAGGAGCCTTTCCTCGCGGCCTGCGACGGAAACGCGGGGTAGGTAATCTGAGGTCCAGATTCAGACGTCCGGACGCCCCGCCCTTAAAGGGGCAGGCACCAGCGCGCCTTGTTTTAAAGGGCCCCTGTCCCCCCACTCTGTCCCCTCCTCTTTAAGGTCGGGCCTCTGTCAGGTTTCAACGTAAACACCCGCCTCCAGGCTCGTTAGGAGGAAGCGACGGTCCACCATCTACTTTACGGGAGGCAGAGTGACGACACAAGGGGTGGGCGGGTTTCTTTCATAAAACAAAACTCATAGGCTCCTAGAGCTGCCACTCATGGGTAGGAGAACGATGATAGGCTTTCCCCGTAAAAGGAGGCGGTATCTGTGAAGCCAATCGGTGCTCAATCTAAAACTAACCGACTCCTCACCTCCGGCTGTGGAGGAGAGAGAATTTTAGTAACGACTAACTTTTTAGTTCGGCCATGGTTAAATGAACCTTTTGGAACAAGGCAGCCGGGGAGGATGTGACAGGTCCATGGGGGTTCTGAAAGGTTACCGCTTCCCGGGAACCCAAGGTCCCTAGCACCATTTTCTGAAGGTGTATATATGTTGGAGTGGGGTCCCCTTCACGGCCAGTTTTCACTCAGTCACTTTTGGGATGGCCAAGTGTGTGTGCTAGAGCAAATACTTGTGAACGAAAGGAGCCACATGCTAACCTGACAAGCTCATGGGAGGCCTGTGTGGCAGTCTTGCAAACTCAGAGGCCTAAAATAACCAGAAAAGATGGTTTGGAAATTAAATAGTTAAACTACAAACAGGTTATAGTGAGTAGTCATGTCCTAGGCGGATATTTTCTTTGACAACTTAGATCTTCTTTCCTCAGCCCATTTGCCTCTAAGCCTCTAAGATAACATATCTCTGAGATGTTTGGGTAACTTGTAACTCCCTTTTTTTGGAGCCCCTGGGGCACAACCTGATGTGGTGGGCATCAGGACTGATGCCTGTCAAACTCCTTTATCATGTTAATTGTTCCTGCAACCACCTAAGTGCGTGTCCACCATTTTATTTTTTATTCAATTCCAGGGGTTTTCCACAGCTTTACTTTCTTCTGCCTCCTTACTCCATCACCAATGAATTTCATGTAACCCACCTATATTCCTCCTTTGATTGCAATGTATAAATAAAAATGTAACCCGCCATTCTTTGGAGCATTATCGGGAAGTTTGGCTCAAATAAACACAAAATTTTTTTACAAGTTTCAATGTGTGTTTTTTTGTTTGTTTGTTAGCATACTAAAAAAAAAAAAGAAGAAAAGAAAACCACAAAACAAACAAACAAACAAACAGCCCTGCCCTGATCAGTTTGGCTCAGTGGATAGAGCGTTGGCTTTCGGACTGAAGGGTCCCAGGTTCCATTCCGGTCATTTCCCAGGTTTGATTCCCATCAAGGGCATGTACCTTGGTTGCAGGCACATCCCCAGTAGGGAGTGTGCAGGAGGCAGCTGATGGATGTTTCTCTCTCATTGATGTTTCTAACTCTTTATCACCCTCCCCTTCCTCTCTGTAAAAAATTAATAAAATACATTAAAAAAAAAACAAAAAAAAAACGCCCTAACCAGTTTGGCTCAGTGGATAGAGCGTTGGCTTTCAGACAGAAGGGTCCCAGGTTCTATTTCGGTTAAGGTCATATACCTTGGTTAAGGGCACATCCCCAGTGTTTCTAACTCTATATCCTTCCTCTCTGTTAAAATATCAATAAAATATATTTAAAAAACAAAACCTCTCCCTTCCTCTCTTTTAAAATATCAATAAAAGCCGAAACCGGTTTGGCTCAATGGATAGAGCGTCGGCTTGGGGACCAAAAGGTTCCAGGTTCGATTCCGGTCAAGGGCATGTACTTGGTTGCGGGCATATCCCCAGTAGGGGATGTGCAAGAGGCAGCTGATTGATGACTCTCTCTCATCGATGTTTCTAACTCTCTATCTCTCTCCCTTCTTCTCTGTACAAAATCAATAAAATATATTAAAAAAAATAAAAATAAAATAAAATATCAATAAAATATATTTAAAAAACAAAACAACCCTCCCCCCCCAAAAAAAAACACACACACACATACCAACAAAAACCTGATAGTGAACTACAAAAATATTCTCCTGAAACTTTGTGAGGAAATGTCCATAGGAGACCATTGTTGAGTGGTGCTAAATCCAACAGCTGACCTATGTACCACTCACTTTACAGACTATCTCATTTTAATATAACAACCTTTAAGAGGAATGTGTTGTGATTAGCAATTTAGAAATTAGAACAAGGTGAAAGGTTGTCACGTGCCCAAAGTCACATGATTAAGGCATGTCACCTTCCTGAGGTCTCCGTGGAAGTATTGTTTGAAAAGGCTCACCTTCCTGAAGTTAAAGCCTTCCTCCAAATTGGAGGAAGTAGTGCACAGAGTCAAAAGAAGTGCTGAGTTTTGCAAAGCCTCACAATGAAGAATAGGAGCCCAATTCTAAAGGCCTTCAACTGCATCCAGTTAATATCTGGTGCCAGAATTAACAAGTGAATTCTATATCCTGGTAACCATGGGGCAAGTTATTTTGACCTCTTTTCTGTTTCTCCAGTGATTTGCAATAGAACCTTGGGAGCTGATTTTCCTCTTAGCAACCAAGCCTGAAGTAAACAAAACTTCAACCAGGAGAGAGAGTAGACACAGTTATAAAGAGGAGAAGAGAGCTAGCCTGGTCCTTGGGTCTGCTGTACGGAATGGAGAGAATAGATAGATGGCTTGGGTCTGTTGGGTGTATTGTAGGAACAAACATGAATGGGTCAAGGCCCTTCCTGGAGGGACTTACAAGCTTGTCAGGGAGAAGTGTCCCTGGAGCTTAACACGTCTCAGGTCTTAATTTTAAGCACATGTGATTTAGTGATCTTATTAAAACACAAATCAGATCTTGTCTCAGTTCAAAACCTCTCAAAGGTGACCCCTTTACACTTAAAAATTCACCCGCTTTCAAGTAAGCCAACAAGGCTTTCAGAAAATATATTAAACATGCTGTGTTTTGTTGGACTCACTGTTTTTGTGTGTGTGTGTGTGTGTGTTTTTTAAACAAATTTGAACAAAAATTTAAAAAATCAGAAAATGACTCCTTAAAAGTTCAGATATCTGTCTCTTCTCTCTCTTTTTAATTCTCACCAGGGGATATTTTTTTCATTGATTTATTATTTTTTTAGAGAGAGAATTGAAGAGAAAGGGAGAGACAGAAACATTGATATGAGAGAGACATCCCAACCACGGCTGGGAATTGAGCTTGCAACCAAGGTATATGCCCTTGATCAGAATCCAACCCAGGACCCTTCAGTCTGAGGATCAATGCTCTATCCACTGAGCAAAACCAGCTAGGGCTGATATCTGTCTGTTAAATAGAAGATCTGGCAGAGCTGGGCAGCAAGGACCTATGGCTCTGTAGATGAAGGAGGATGTACCAGTCTTCCACAGCTCCTATTACTTGGGTAAGCACCTCACCAGTTTTTCCATTTACACTGTCAGCCCAACTGTTTTGTGATCTGTGAGCTATCTCCTCTCTGCTTCAACTTGGCACCATTCTTTATTCTGGCATTTGGTCAGTTTCTGGTGGACCCTGCCAACTTTCCTTTTTCAGGACACTGTACTTGCTGTTTCCTCTGCCTGAAAGTTCCCCCCTTCTTCTCCTTCCCAAATTACTTTTAGCTGGCTCCTGTTTTCTTGAGGTTTGAGCTTAAATGTTATCTGCTCAGAGGACTCTCCCTCAATCCCAATTACTTTATTTAAAGCAAATATTGTTTTACTTTACCTCCATTTATGTCTTTACTCATTTACTCCCCTCTTAGGGGACTAGAACCCTGCATTTGGCTTCTAACTCATTCCTTTCCTTTCAACCCCATTTCTTTTTTTCTTTTTTTTTTAAATATATATATATATATATATATATATATATATATATATATATATATATTTAATTGATTTTTTTACAGAGAGGAAGAGAGAGAGATAGAGAGTCAGAAACATCGATGAGAAAGAAACATCAATCAGCTGCCTCCTGCACACCCCCTACTGGGGATGTGCCCGCAACCAAGATACATGCCCTTGACCTGAATCGAACCTGGGACCTTTCAGTCCACAGGCCAATGCTCTATCCACTGAGCCAAACCGGTTTCGGCAAACCCCATTTTTTAACCCAGTGCAGTTCTCATAGTAAACACTCAATGTTTGTAGATTTAAGATCTGTCCAAGAGATTAGTTATCTATTTTTTGTAGGAAAGGGGCCATTTTGACTGTGAAGTAAATTTGAACATCTGCAAGCAACAGAGAGAAGGGAATAATCCAGATTGAGCCTTCACTAAATGCTAAATGTTAACAGATATTTTACATAGATTAGTTGATTCAATGTCACAAGGATCCTACTAAGTAGACTTTTTAATTTTATTTTTTTAAGGTTTCAAGTTAACATCTATTGCGCACTAACTGTAGGTAACTGCCAAGTCCTCAAAATGTAAAATTTAGCAACACAATTTTACCTGCAAGGACTTCAGAGATATGCCAACTATATAAGAACAATTTTGTGAAAACATGTAGGAGATAATAATTCGAGTGAGAAAAATATGACACTGGAGGTTTGGAGATAAATATTTCAACATAAGCAATGGGTTCAGAGGTGCAAAAATATAGCAGTAGACCTTTTTTATGTATAGATGAGGAATCTGTTCAAAGAGATTAGGTAACTTGTGCTAGGAGCTATAATAGTAAGTGGTGGAGCTGGGATTTGAACTGGCTTATCTGACTTGGAAGCTTCCCTTTTCCCCAGTATATCTTCCCAGTTTTTGTATTCTTCTCCTTACTAAACTGCTTAGATACTCAGTGTAATAGAAAGGTAAAACTTGAAGAGT